TGGACAAGTAAGGCAACTATTCCTGTGAATTTTTGCCTGGGATGAAATGTCCAGACAATAAACTGGCTTTCTGATGTGCAGACAATTCCACAAAGCCCTGTCGTCCTCTAAGAAATTAAAACCTTTTGTTTTTATTTTCAAGGGAGAATCTGAGATCACTTCATAAAAGAGACATAAACCTAGATCTTTGAAATTAGAATTTTTCTGTTATAAAGCTCGTGCGATTTGAGGCAGCTCCATTTTGATGTCCAGATTAGTGCTATTTTGAAATACAGGTTGAATTAAGGTTTCTTCATTCCTAAAAGTTGGCTGGTCTCTCCAAATATCAGTGTTTTGCACAGAGCAAGTGTATGAATGTGTCATTCGACCATGTTCATCTGGAGTATGGAAGTCAGTGGCTGATGTGAAAATATTATCTTCTGGCCAGTTTCCAGCAGGGTGACTGATTGTGGTGGCTTTCACTTTCATTACCACAAGACAAATTGTCCAATATGTTTTAAATGTACATCCAATCTGATAGACTTGGAATGTGAATTTAGTCACTTTTTCTCTGGGCAGGATCAATATGTCTGCAGCTGACTGGTATCTCTAAAGTTGTATATTAATTTTTAATAAATCTTCAGAATTGGTTACTTCACCTTTCTGTTTTTTTTTCAACTTTAGTTTTCCTCAAATTTGACACATATTTTTTTCAAACCATTCATCAGTGATGGTCCAGAAATCAAACATAAGATGAGCTGTAAACTTGATTTATGATCAAACAGCTTTCCATTAAAAGGCACTGACCTATCAGTCCCCATTGTTTTTAAAGAGGAATATACCAATTCTGATTAACTATGTCTGGGATAATATTCTGAATGAATATATCTGGGATAATTACTCTGAAGTGGAGGGTGAGGGTGGGGTGAGGGTGGTGAAAAACAAAAGAAAAAAAAAGGAAAAAATGGGAAGAAAAGAAAAAGAAAAAAAAAAAGAATGAGGAAGGGAAAAGTGAATCCATGCATCAATAGATAATAATATCCAGAAACTAAGATTCTTGCCAAGAGACTTGAGAATTCCCTCATGCAAGAATAGGAATCTGAGCACTCTGCTCCTCCTGTATGACAGCCATGTTGCTAAGTAGTACCTGGTGGGAAGAGGATCTTCTCTTTATATTTTTAGACATAGTCAAAAGGATTTTTGTTCTTTGCATACAATACAGAACAGGAAGTACTTTCAAATTGTGGATTTTTTTTAGGACATGAAAATTATTGCCTTCCTGCATCTATTTATAAAAAAAGAATAAAAGGTATTTAACTTATTTAAGAGACCAGATGTAGTTGTGAGTTTCATAAATTTCTTTAGATTCTTGCTATTTAATAAAAATTTAGGAAGAAAGGATTAAATTATACTTTTGCTGTTCAATTTAGTAGATAACCGTGGCTCAATATACCTGCCTGAAAATAATATTGATTTTGAATAGCCTCAAACATGGCCTAGTTAAGAAATCATTCCCCATGATTTCAAGGATATGAAAAAGCTGATAGATCTACTCCAGAGTTTCCAAACTAAAAGAGGATTGCAATAACTCTGTGTTGCCCATCATCTGTGTTGCTGTCTGTGGAGAGTGCACACTAGAGAGGTGTAGAGGCAGCTAGAGAAATTCCCACCTGTGCATCAGTCCAGTGGAATTAATATGCTAGAAGGTACTTACATACATTTTCAGGCTAAGAAATGGATCAAATAACGGACAATAAAGACTCTGATTGACTGAAGAAAAGTTTCAGATCACTGTGGAAAATTTGATATTTTAAGCACATATAGTCATTAAAATTCTTTTCCTTGCCTACATAACTCATATTCACCGTATTTCCCTACAGTCTAAAGCTCTGGAATGTGGAGTACCCAAGGACACTTTTACTTTTCTGGACAGGTGAAGGAGTTGTCCCTGGGAAATGTGATTGCTTATAGGACAGACATACAACAGTGTGAGCTTGGTAGACATCTAAGGGAATGCAATACTGGGATACTTCCCCAGTTTAGAGCTTTTAATGTTGTGTTGTAGTACTAAATATTAACTCTTTCTGGCTACAAACATTGGTAACTATCCCTTTAAAATAAGCACATGACACGATTAACTATCATATCTTTTATTATTGATTGGGGGGGGGTTTGTACTCCTGGGGGATGGGACAGAGTGCACTCTCAGCAAAATGGGTGACAAAGCAGAGAACAGAGATGCTCCTTCAGGAATCCTTGAAAAGCTGGAGAAAATCATGGATTCTAACAAAGGCAAAGGCAACATCTTGATCTGGAAGCAGAATAGTCCCATGCAGCAGAGTAGAACCTGGGACTGACTGAGTAGAAGGAACCTTTGCATGAGTGGTCCTGTCAGCCCAGGTGGACAATAAGTGGAACATGATTTGGTGAAACCCAACTGCACAGCTCTTGGCAGGAATTTAGCCAGAATGCCCAGGAGGGTGATCCTTCCCAGTCCTGTAGTGTCTGTGAGGCCACACTTGGGACACTGACAAATTTTCAGGTCTTTGCTGCTCAGAAAGACAGATGTACTGAACTCAGCCCAGTGCATGGCCACTGGCTGGTGTGCAGCTGGAACACCCAGTGCGAGATCTGCATCCACAGAGATGTTCAATATGGGACTGGATGAGGTCCTGACAACCTGCTCTATTGGATCTGCTTCCAGCAGGAAGTTGGATCACTCCGTTTCCAAAGGATCTTTCCAGCCTAGATGCTTCTGTGGTTCTGATACATCAGTTAGGTGTCTAATTTATTATTTTCAGAAGAATTTTATTTGTTAAATTATGTATTAAATCTCATAAATTAAACTGGGCATAAATTTTATAATAACTTCATGCTTCTTTTGAAGGATGATTTATCTCCACACATCCTGGGCCTATTCATTTAAAAGTAGAAAGCTTCTTAGAGGTCTTAGATACAGGATCATAAAAGTAATGTTGATCTTTGCTTAAAACTGATAAAAATGCTGGTTTCTAATCTACTTATTCATTGCATTCAGATTAACTCCACAAGTTACTATATCTTTACTTACAATGAAGGAACTTTCCTCACAGTTTCAAAACAGATTTAGAACAACAGTGACTCAGAAGACATTATCTGATGAATAGTAATTGACTTGAGAATGACAGAACTGCAAAATTAAATTTAAATTCATAATAGATGTTTAAAAAATGGCAATGTGCTGATGAATTATGAGCCTTTACAGAGAAGTTAAGAAATGGGAATGACTAATTTTACAGTTTAAGAAGAAAATATATTTTGAATCCTTTTCCCTTCCACCCACTTTAGCCTTTATGAAAAAAAAAAAGAATAAAAAAAAAAAGAGTTAAAAAGATAAAAAAATTAACATTGGTTTACAGAAAAGTAGCAAGCCAGAGAAGATGCCAAAAATCTTTCACAACTACAGCTCTCTCCAAAGCCGGTAGTGCAGAATGATTTCCCATAGAGACTAGGAGCTGCAAGAATGAACTGAGAGAAGGTTTGTGGACCAAATACACTTGTTTTACCATTCCACTGAATTTTGATTCATTACTAGGTCTGATGGGTTAACACCTGTGATACCAACTCAGTGAGTTTATGCTTTTGTCATATAAAGGATAATCCCTGTAAAGCAGAAATATGAGTTGACAACGGTTCCATTCTGTAATTGTTGCAAAGTTGAAATTAATGCTGTACCATTTAAAGAATGTTGATAATTTACTAAAAGACCAGAGGAAACAGAGTGAAGAGAATGCAAATAAACTTCTCCTGACAGGAGATGAGTGTGTTTAGTAGATGAAGCCCATACACATATGGGTATGTGTGTGTGTCAGTAAGAAAAGGAGCATTGATTTTGACAAGTTGAAGGGAACAAATATTCTAGAGCTATATCAAAATGTCAAATGTATTTTAAATCTGCGACAGCCCATAATCTGTGTAAAAAAACTGAAGTATGAATTGATGCTGAAAAGCAGAATATCAAAATGTTGCAGGTGACTAGAAAAGTTGGAAATTTCCCATGAATATTTACTCTCAGTATTAAAGGAAAAAAAATCATTCTTTTTTTTTATATGACATGCACTCATCTGTCAGACATAGTAAAGAGTACACTTGCTAACAACAACAAAAGCAGTAATAATCAATGTCACTTCTATGAATTAAGCAGACAGATGTAATATTTAGTAGAATAGCATGTTTTATATATATGCATGGTTTGAACACACTTTGGAAACCTTCAGATGGTTTTTGATCACTACAAAACCCTTTCCATTCCATTATTGCATAAGTCTACCCATATTATTTCAGGGTAGACTGAAATGGAAAAGGGAATCTGTCATATTAGGAATCTTGCCATTATTTCATTATATCCAGTCCTTGGATTTTGAAAACTTAGCCCTTTTCTTGTACTCCACTTTGCAAGGTTTCAGTGTTGGGAATATCTTTTCAAATAAAATTTTCATCAAGTATTCAAAGTTGTTTTTCAGTAATTTAGTTTATGTTATATCTTTTAATGACAATAACTTATAGAAAAGTAATTAAATATCGTATCAAGCTATGAAATTCTGAATAATATTTACAAAAAGAGAAAATTGCAATGTCGGTACATTTTTGTTTGGATTTGTTTGTTTTGGAGAGATTGGTCTGGTTTTTTTGGGTTTTTGATTTTTTAGGGTTCTTTGGTTGGTTGGTTGTTTTGGGGGGTTTTGTTGTTTTTGTTTTCTTGCTTGGTTGTTTTGGTTTTTTTTATGTGGGAGTTTAAAGAGATTACGTTTTTAATACAAGGGCCTTTAATTTTGGAGCTATATTTACTGTCTAAGCAAAAACATTTACCAGTATTGAAGGCATGAACATTATTGTTCATAATAATTCATTATTGTTCAATATTGTTCATACTGAAACATAAGAAAAACCAAAGCCTTCTAGAAATAATAGGTATAAAACCAAGTCTCAGTCTACCCAATAATAATCAAAACACTACATATGTGAATTTCTTTCTTTTCTAGCACCACTAACAGATAAACCACCAAAGCTTTTACACCCCTTGGAGAGTAAGCTAACAATTCAGGAGACCCAGTTAGGTAAGTAGAAAACATAACCTCTCTTCAAGTTGTATGAAGGAATTTGATGTGTTGATGTATGATGGTAAACTGATGGCATGTTGACATTAATAATTTAATTGAAAAGACATTAAACATATGTTGATTCCATGCAGAGATATATGATATATCATCTACAAAATTGCTGTTCACAAAAAAAAAGTCTTAATAATTAATACTGAATGCTAAGATTTTGTGAAAGTCAACTGTTACAAGAATATCTGAATTTTCTTCCTAAACTTTCCCTTTTCTGTATATTTATACATACTTACTGTGGGATTCATTGGGATTTTGTGATTTAAATCTTGCTTGGAAGACTATTGTGTTTTGTTGACTGCTTACAGAATTTCAAAGATATTCTATAATTGCAAAGGTTGTGCTGGGCAAATCATCCAGCAAACAGTGTTATCCTAACAGCATCTGATCATTCTGAATGCATGGATATTTATGTATAGATGAATGAAGAGAAATTTTTGCATGATGAAAGCATTTTGTTTCACTTTTTCTAGTCTAGTAGGTGGTGGGTATGATTGGTCACCTTAGTGTCCTACTGCTGCAGAGGTAATGAAGTGAACTGAGTGCATGAGTTACCAGATATAGCAATTTACCTCTTTTGTGGAATGGCAATGAGGGCAACTTGTAAGAAACAAACAGTAGGTTACACTGGAATTATGCTTTGGTGTCAGAACAGTAACCTATTGATAGATTTTCTGGTTTGTTGGATAAGGGAGAAAATGGAAACCAATCTGGTGGAAACAAATCTCATAGAAAAAAATATATATAAATCTCATAGAAAAAAATAGTGCAAGTAAACTTCAGTACATTCTGCAACACAACATCAGAGAAAGCAGAAGGCTTGCAAATTAATTCTGACAGTCATTGGCAGGGCATTTTATGGTGATTACCAGGTTATTGCTAATAGTGGCCAGAGAATAACTCTTCTTTGATATTAGTAAACAATGACTTTGATTGGTTCAGAATATCCAGGTAAATTTCTGATATGATGATATACAGGTTTTTTTAGCACTTACTATATAGAAAAGAAGGCATGTAACATGTTTCCTTCTAGAGCTACTTTCTATTGTTCTGAAGGTACTGTTTCTGATACACTGACTCAGAAAATCTGTCCTGTATGTCAGACCTAAATGATCTTACGTTGTTTGAGCACAAGATATGGAACAGAGAACAAAGTGACTGCACATTTGTTTTTTAACTAATGTTGCTTACTGAGATATTTTTCATAAAAAAAAAAAGGAAAATCAAAACCAAAAGGCAGAACCTTTCTGGGCTTTGATGTTGCTTTACGGTGAGACTATTTCAAGAAGTGTGTAATTGTTAATGGACAGATAGAGGCTTTTTTGTCTATGAATTTTAGAATTAATCTCAGTTTTGATTTCTTATAAAATAATTTGAAAATGACTGGGTTTGAAAAAGACACTTTTCAGAAAACAAAATAATTGTTAGTGAATATAAAAGAATTAACCCAAAAACGTCACATTCAGATACAGATGGGAATGTCTGAACATAAATTAATGTGGTTACAATACTTAGCCTTATATCAAGAAGCTACGAGAATATATTAATTTGTTGTTTAAAAGCCCATGAAAAACCTGTGAGAACTGAAACAAATGAAAAAAATTGATAGTTCTCTAACATGAAAACTGTTTTTCTGCTCTTAGATTTAGTGCCTTGGTCCTGCTGGATAACCTTCAAAAGGTCTATGTTTCCCTGGGGAAAGCCAGGGTTCTATCCTGGTGGTCAGTTCATACCATGCAAAAGATGTGGAACATTTAATGATGGAGCAATGCCAAAGTTCACTTAGGTAGCTGTTGAAGCCAGGAGAATCCTACTCAGTTGAGACTTGGGGTGACCATATTTTGTGACCAGTCTAGACACTGCCAGAAAAGGTTAGTCCTACAGAATGTATTTGCAATGGCGTGTTCATCCCTCTCTTGGAAAATAAAAGAGTTGGTGGATGCTGGAGAAGTGGAATGGGTTGTATTCCCATTCCCAAAGAGAAGACAGAGCAAGGAACAAGGATTTTAGGGCAGTCCAGGATTTCTTTAGCAGGTCACCAGTTGCTGGGAAGCTGGAGCAATCCCTGCTCTCCTCCCACATTTCTGTCCTCACCTTGCAGTCCTCCAGCAGGAGCTGGAAATGAAAGGGGCACTTGTGAGGACCAGTGCATTTAAATCGAGGTGTAGCTAACTCCCAAGACATATCTAAGAATAAGTATCTTATTCATTTGGCTCCAGCACTGCTGGGTGACACAGATATGAGACACAGAGGCCTCCTCTATACACAGCAATTAAAACTAATATCATGGGACCATAACCTATTGTGTTATTACCTTAGCTGACTTCCATAAAACAACACCAGACCAGGATGTGACTGCAGGAAGGAGTTTCTCCAAGAGGTGACTGATATGGCATAAGTCAGACTTGCTAAGGCAAAAGGTGAGAAACTGGGTTTGGAGAATCTGCACACCTCAATCCTAGGAACCCACAGGCTCCCATCACACTCAAGTCATCCACAATTATTTGAGAAAAAGGTGTCATGCTGTTCAGCTGGTATTTGGGACTCTGTTAAACATGGAGGCACTGCAACCAGCAACTTTAGAGATGCAAAAATTATAGAGTATAAAAATATATAAGATTATGTATTTTGATATCTCCTCAGAAATATTTTTATTGGACTGAATAATAATCAGAATTTCACAAGAGGCACAGGATAAAAATTGAAGAAGTTAATTTTTCAAAGGCTTTTCATAAAAAATAACATGGAAAGCTAAGGAATGGAGCACAAAAATCTAGATGAGGAAAGAAAGATTAGTTTTGGATTTTATGTTTTTTGTTTGTTACTTCACTACCAAATTTGCAATCAATTACTTAATCCTGTTGCAAGGATAAGAAATGCTAATTACATTTAAGCTTTTCTCCTGTGAAGAGGGCTTTTAGGCAGATATGTGACCCCAATACAAAGTACTTCTCTGGAAACAACATCTCCAGATAAAATACTATGGTAAATACACTCTTCAAAAGATTATGCCCTGCAAAGGTTGGAGATGTAAGAGGAGGAAGAGTGTTCTCAGCTCTGAGCTGCTCTGTGCAGCACAGACCAAGGAGGTAAAAGACTCCTTTGTTATAATGAAAACACAAACCTGAAAACACAAACACAGACCTGTTCAGGAAGGAATAAATTAACATTGTTCCTTATGTATCAGAAATCCTAAAACTTTGGGTAACTATATTTTTAATTATAGAGTCGTGTAGATGTTTATGATAGAAATATATCATATCCATTATGTGTAAATTTATTTTAAAAATTGCATTCTGGGATTTTTTTATTGATAAATTCTGAGTCTTTTCAGTTTCACCTTTCAGGTTGGAGTGTGTTTCACACCAACACTGTCCAATATGTGCCCCACCAAGGAAACAAAGAATTATTACCCTGACTCAAAAAAGTTTGATTTCAGTTGAACCAGTTGGTTCATGTCACGTTACTAAAGAAGACAAATGTGATTCCACATCAGAAAGTGATGGATCTGGATTAAAAAATTACGGAACATGAAATAACCATTTTAAACACCTCACAAGCTAATTGGCCTCTGTCTTCCCCACTTTTTCAATGTGTCTCCTGATTTTGCACAGGGCTGTAATTTGACATGCCAAAATTCACCCAGAAAAAGAAAGCTATTGTTGAATTGTTTTTGGCTTAATGTTAGAGAAGATAAAACACAAACAAAAAATGAAACAAAAACAAACAAACAGAACAAAAAAATTAAAAAAGCAAGAGACAGACCAAAAAATCCCATTCAAACCCCCCAAAAAACCCAAAAAAATTAACAAACAAAAATTACAAGGAATAAAGTATTGCCACCACTATATGATAAAAATATTTTTTACTTATAAAGAACCCAGACACTTTCTCTGTCATCTGAATAAAGTGAATTTTCCTGAATTGTATCCAACCCAAAACATTACTTGTGACCAAATGCACAATCAATACCTGTTCTGTTTTTATATAGGGCATTATTTTGATAAAATTAAATTAACTATTACATAGTGAATTGGGGATTTCTTCTTTCTCACCCTTCCCTGCACAGATTTAAGAAAAAAATTTATTGAACTACTTTTAGTATATAATTTCCACAGTAGAAGAAAGAATCTCCCCATCAGAGACAGATGAATGTTGGTTCATTTATAGCACTGTTATCATAAAAATCTTCCACCAAACTTGACCTTGTTAACTATGAAAGCCATCCTTAACTAGATTAATGAGAAGATGTATAAATAAATTAACTAAAGTGATATGCAATAACCAGTAATCAGTGACTCCTTTCAGGAAGAAAATTGAATGGAAAAAATATTGAGAATTTTAAGTTTTATTTCTACAGATTGCATGTAACTGGTCTATTCACTCTGCAATATGAACATATTTTTTCATTATATGAAGATTTTCAAGTTTATTTGATTATATCAACTGTCTTTAAACAAAAATGGAACCTTTTTTTTGATTATGTGTTTCAATTGTATACTTGCTCTTTGATATATTCTATAATTAGATTAACATAATATGGGCAACAGCTTCACATGAGAAAAATTAAAACTGAAAATTCAAAATTTACTTCTTCAATACCAACTAATTTTTTTTTCTGTTTATATAAGGGCTTGGATTATAATTTCAAAATACAACTTGGAGTGTTTTGAAAAAAATATGAAAAATAAAAAAGTTTTTTCTGAGCTATTTATTGCTAAAATTTTTATTTGAACAAACTAATGTTTAAATTTTTTTCATTGAGAAGTTTATAACCTCATTGTTCTGAAATGTTTTGGTTTAATATTTTATCGATTCCTGGGCTATTCTCACCTAATGAAACATTAGGAAAAAACTTTGTTGAAAAACTCACATAGTTAATGACTTAACTGCAGACTAGTTCATAGAAAGTGAAATATTTGAAATCTAGTGTAAATGAATAAAGA